ATCTTTGTTTTAAGCTATTTGGTAATAAAGAAAGATAGCTATGGGTTGGGAGAGCTAGAGGGAGTCTGAAGGCCTTAGTACCTTAACTACCCAGAGGTGAAGTTCAGACTAATTTAAGTCAAGTTGACAGACGTAACTGTTAGCCTGGGGGAATACGATCTGTTTGGAAGCATTATTTTGGCAAGAAAAAAAACTTCTGTTAAGAGATGGCTTTCAGCACCTGCAAACTTTGTTTAGTTTTGTCAGCCACAACAACAAAGAATGAGACTTTGAGAATTCAGGCTCCTTAGAGTTACCACAAAACCCAAATCAGTCTAGGTTAAGAGCAAACGCTGAGTTCTCAAGAAGTTAAACTCTTTCAGGTTTTATAAGCAACAACTCTGAGGCTAAATTGAAATGTTTAAAAAAACACCACCACTCCTGCCCAGAAATTAAATAACTCACCTTACAGACACATATATTTCAATTAATTGTTCCATTTTTTTAAATTGCCTATTTATTTTTCTACCCAATCCAGTATCCACAATATACAAGAGGATATAAACAGACTATCATGAATATTTACAGGATGATACACCAAAGAATTACCAAGGAACAAATCCTGCAAAGTAACAAATTGTTGCTTATCCATGTCCACTCAACTGTACAAGGTTTATTTCTAGGACAATTTCCCATTCTCTGTGAAAGAAGTTCTGTGAATTTATACCTTCCATAAGGGTCAAGCAAATATGCTAAGAGCTGATACCATCATGTTTTTATACTAACAGCCGAGAAAGGCTTTTAAAGAACACTCTCTTTCAGTCCATTGTTACAGCATCAGTGGGCTCATAGGCAGGATGTGACTTCATCAAAGGAAATGCTTCTCTCTTCTTGGCCTCCCTAAGACCTTTCTCACAGTACACAGAAGGAGCTCCCCTTGATAACACCCTAGTTCCAACAGATGGTGTGGAGATTATCAACACACAATGGGGAAAAGAAACTGACCCCCTTACCAGCTAAATACAATACAGATCTAGGGAGGCAGTTTCCAGATCTCCAATAGGCAGACATTATGTGGCCTGTATTTAGTACACAGCACATTCTCTTGAGAGAAAACAGGAATGAACATTCTTAGAAACATTCACATTGTAGCTTTACCCAAAGTATATAGGAAATGGCAAAAACCTAAACCTAGCTGGACATTTTATACAAGTCAAAGTTCAAAGGAATCATCCTATCTTTATTCTCAGGAATCCAATGGGTTGAATACCACAGCTCTTCTTTAATGGAAGCAGAAGATTCAGAGTGCTTGTCTCCCAAAATGCCTCAGCGAAGAGCAGCACAGAGAATGTAATATAAAAAGCGTAATAGGGTTAATACATGGAAGACAACAATTCTCAGTCAACCTAACCACAATTTTCTGTCTTGGCCATCCGTAAGAAATGATCACATTTGATATTCAACTTTCGCATTCAAAAAAAGAAATCAATTCAGCTTCAGACACAAAGGAAAAACAAACAAACAACAACAAAAATGGCAATAGCCTACGTATCTAAACACTTGACAATCAGGGAACTGCCCCACAAAGATACGCTCAAGGCCAGAAGTGCCTGTTTATAATTTGGCATGTACTGGTTGAAGGGGCAACAGGGCCTGGAGCTAAAATAGTCAATTTAAAAAATATAAGACATCAATGAATCAGACAAATGTAGACATATATGATACCACATTAAAGACTCATATACAATACTGTGCTGACTGAAAATATTTTGGGACACTAGAAGGAAAAGATAATAGGAAAATAATTACAAAGGAGCATTTCAGTCCAAAGCCAGTCCAGTGAGTACATACAACTAGGATTTCCAATCTTTAATCTCCAAAGAAGCTGATTAATAAATTATAACATCACTTCATTCACCTTGGGACATACAACATACTTCCACCAAGTGCAGTAATCCCTCTGACGTTTTGGTTTCACTGCTATTTGATGACTAAGTCATTTCTGGCTATAAAGATCTTCCTAATATATTTTAATTAGCCATTTAACACTACAGAGGCTGCCCCCTTTGAGAGACCAGACAAGCTTCACTGAATCTGATCTAATGAAGGTGAACAGTGGGGGAAAAAGGGAGTATTCATTGGTTTTTTTTTTTTTTTGTAAATCTTTCTCTCTGGCTTGAAAAACTCTGCAATCACTTAATGTTTTGCTCCAGAAAAAGAAAGCAAAACTAGCTGGGAAAATATCCATACTTTGTGTTTACTAGCATGATACAAAATAAATTCACAGATGTCAGTCCATTGTTTCTTAAAGACCAAATGTGAATTTTTAATCTTGTAACTTAAGAACTGAGTTTTTCCACATTCTTTTATAGAGTTAGCATCTGTAAACTGAGACCCTTTTTTGGACAATCATACAAATTTAGTCTGTCCCTGGAAACAAAAACACAACCTAACAGATTAACAAAATATGTCCTTTAGACAATATTTTTTCTGTGAATTTTGCTGCACTGTTACCATTTTTATCCTTCAGCAAACAAAACTACACTTAAAAAGTTTATGTATTTCGAGTTCACAAAGAGCTAAACTCTTAATTAAGAAGACTATGAAGTCAACGTACTCTCATTTCAGAACTGGCTCCCCTCTTTTCAAAAGTAAACTCTAAAAGTTCTTTGGTTATCATTATTAAGTTATATGAGCTAGACATTTCCACTGCCATCAATGCTTCTGTAAAATTGAATAGAGATTTTATTATACCACACACACAAAAAGCAATCGGTACAGAAAAAGCAGTTTTTAGTTATTCTGTTGAGAATTTCTTTCCATGATTTCTCCCATTAAAGTATAGTTTTCAAAGCAACCACCACGACAAAGGAAGCATCTAATTAGTCCATTTTCTTCTGATCCAAGAATGCTGAACATTTACTGTCCCATCTGTAGTTGTATCAGCAGTGTAATGAACACAGTTTATATTACTTAACTATTCTTTGAACTCCAAGAACTGTTGAAGTCTTTTCTGATGTTCTGCAGATGCTTGCACAGCACTAAATGAAACATAAATTCAAAGCATAAGCTTTATTTTACATTAAGCATATTAAGTGAACCACAGAGCACAGAGTCAATATTTTTCAAAACAATTAAAAACGAATAGAAATCTTCACTTATTTAGTATTTCTGAAAAAGCTGGATGAAACTTTTTAATCTAATGAAGAGGAGGGCTTGCATTCAGTAATGGCATGTTTCTACCTTCTAAAAGACCAAAGCAAATTAAGACTGACAAGTGAAGGCATTAACTTTAACCTGTTCTGCTATGGAACCTGCTGTGCAGAGTTCCAGGCCTTGCAGTTGATATTCTGGATTTTATTATTTTATTTAAACCAGATTCCAACATTATCTTTGAGTTGTGGAGTATCTGAATTGCCTTTAATATAAAATCCTTTAAACTAAAATGTTTGGTTAAAACACAATAGACTCCATTAATCATTTTCAAAGGTAACGGCTTGGTGGTTTAGATTTATTTCTCCCTTTGAACATACGTTATGTTTTGGATGGGAACACTGAGTTCTCTCTCCACCCTCACCATCACAAAAACATATTACCTTGACAAAATTAGGGCAAATATATACTGAAACTAGTATAATACTTCCTGTTAAACTTTTGGGCAAAAATTGAATATAATGAAAGATTCCGGTTTTCTAGTTCTTGAATAGGTCACTGCTTTTTAAAGTGCCAAAACAGTATTACTGTAATAATTTTATTATGAATCATCTTAAAATGTCTTATGGACATCTTTGCTTTCTTAAACCGCATACCTATAATTGAACCATTTCAAGTATACCACTGTGCAAGGATGCCTCTAGGTGCTAGTGAGGCTGTCTTCTCTACTTAACAGCTCTGGAACTCTCTCCAACACCAAATCTGTGGCTTTCCCATGACACTTCTCTCTGCTAACAGGTAGTGAAGTGTCCCTTACGGTCTACGGTTAGTACTCCTGACTCCAGTAGCAATCTCTACCCCTCAAATAAATTTTGATATGGGCCAGGCGTGGTGGCTCACACCTGTAATCCCAACATTTTGGGAGGCTGAGGCAGGTAACTTGCTCACAATCACAGATAGTCAATGATGTAAGCAGACAGAAATCCAGATATTTTAACTCCAGATCTAACATTCTTTCCACTATACCATTCTGTCCTACTTGTACAAAATAGCCTCTACTGACTTTATAAACTTTGGTGCATATATAAAATACGGCTCTTCTCAGAGAAAAGACACTAAGGAGGAATTTCATTTTCACAATTTAGTTAATTTTTGAGGCAGGTTCTTGCTCTGTTGCCCAGGCTGGAATGCAGTGCCGCGATCTTGGCTCACTGCAACCTCCACTTCCGAGGTTCAAGTGATTCTCCTGCGTCAGCCTCTGGAGTAGCTGGGATTATAGTTGCCCGCACCATGTCTGGCTAGTTTTTGTATTTTTAGTAGAGATGGAGCTTCACCATGTTGGTCAGGCTGGTCTCGAACTCCTGACCTCAGGCTATCCACCTGCCTTTGCCTCACAAAGTGCTGGGATTATAGGCATGAGCCACCGTGCCTGGCCCATTTTCATAGTTTTTAACCAGTCATCTGTATCTCTCTCTCTCTCTCTCTTTTTTTTTTTTTTTTTTTTTTTTTTTTTTTTTTTTTTTGAGACAGTCTTGCTCTGTCACCCAGGCTGGAGTGCCATGCCACAATCTCGGCTCACTGCAACCTCTACCTCCTGGGTGCAAGCGATCCTCATGCCTCAGCCTCTCAAGCAGCTGGGATTACAGGTGCGCACTACCACGCCCAGCTATTTTTTGTGCTTTTAGTAGAGACGGGGTTTTGTCATGTTGGCCAGGCTGGTTTCAAACTCCTGACCTCAGGTGATCCGCCTGCCTTGGCCTCTCAACGTGCTGGGATGACAGGCATGAGCCGCTGTGCCCAGCCTACATCTCTTTCTTATCTAATAAATTCCTATGCTCCCCTTTTCTTCTTGCCTTTTTCCCTCAGGGGAATGTTAGAGTCCTGCAATTTATCCAGCCACTGATTACTGGCTAAAACTGGCAGGAATTTCAAATTATTCTTACATACAATAGTATGTAAGAATACTGCCTTTGCCAGTCCCCTCTGCCTGGCCATGACCACAGTCAGGCAAGGTCTAAAGGTATGCCCTTCTCCTTGCTTTTGTTCTATCATTAATATACTTCATATCTATTTCATTCTCTAAATTCACCAGTATTTTCTGATTGTGTCCTACATATTAATTTATATCTTGGAGGCTGTCTAGTGTTGCATAAAGAAAGACAAAAGATTTTTAAGAGCAAGAAAGTCCTAATTTCAGGTTCATGTTTAACAGGCACTAGACTGTGCTATTAGAGAAGTTTTAACATCTCTGTGCCTCTGTTTTCATACTTGTACAATTATGACACTTTCCACATTTCACAGGGTCTTTCAAAAGAGTAAATGTAAAATACACAAAGTTCTAAGTGTATTGTCTAGAATAGCACAGTCTGATAAAACTTTCTAGAATGAAGGAAAGGAAAGGTTTTATACTTAAGTTGTCCAATACAGTAGCTACTAAACACATGTAGTTATTGAGTACTTCAAATTCGGCTAGGGTGACTGGCAAATTGAATTTTCAACTTTATTTAATTTAAATTAGAAGTCTTAAACTATTCATTGATTGCACACAAAAACAGCAGAGCAATCTCTTGTCTTCTAAAGCTCATTTATAATTATGATAAATGTAAATATAGTTTAGTTACTAAGCTAGTATCCCTCATCCTGCCTAGCTAGATCATTTCACAAGAGGAAAGCAGTAAACATCAATAAAACTAAATATAACAGGCTTGGCATTTGTGGTTTTCTCTCTGGTTCTGTTTCTGAAGGTGTTGTGATCTGTCAGTGTTTTTCCAGCATGAATCACAAAGCACCAGGGATTCATTTCTGGAATACTTCGCTCACCCCAAGTCTTAAGTTTGCTGACCAAGATATAACAATAGAATTAGTTCTAATATGTTTTTCTGGAAAGGTACTCGGGTTTTTTGCCCTTTTTTCTCCCTTAAACATCTTTTGGTAATTTAAAAATATATATAAAATTAAATTTGCTGCATTTGTAACTTTCTGTCCTCTTTTGTCCATTTGAAAAAAATCCCCAAAGCATTATGATGGGCCAAATTTTAAAATATAAACATTAAGTCCACCTCCAAGCTGTAAGTTCACAGTAGGAATCATCAAGGTCCCAAAAGAACACTTTCAACATATAAGCCTTATCATTCCCATACCTGTTTCTAAGGAAAGCTCCCCAGAATGAGTATTATCATGGATCAAAACAGGTAAACTTACTTCAGATGTTCACCAAATGTAGTCGTTATTCTATAGATGGCAGTTTTTAGTGATGCTCTGAATGCAAATCTTAATGTTTTATATGAAGTATCCACAAGGCTTCCTGAAATCCGGGGTGGTTTACTGGAAGCATGAGGAAGCTTAAAGTACTTGTCGACTGCCTACATCAAGAAAGAAAACACATCAGTTTAAGTTATAAAGAAAGCCAGCCTAGGCCAGGTGCTGTGGCCCACATGTGTAATAACAACACTTTGGGAGGATGAGGCAGGGGGACTGCTTGAGACCAGGAGTTCCACTGTACTCCAGCCTGGGCAACAGAGACCCTGTCTCAAAAAATAAAAATAAAAAATAAAAAAAAAAAGAAAGCTAATTTAGTCCAAAGAATTAAGATTTGAGATAGATACATATCAATATATACAGAGAGATATACACATATCCATAGATATGCTGTAACATATTTCTTATTGTAGATCACGTCGAAATAGTTTCAAAAACAATGCAATAGGGAGGCTCAGCTACTTTGGCAGTTACCAGGCTCCCCCACCCCCAAAATCCAGACTTGCCCTCGAAAACAAAGCTATCATTCAATAGCCTTGAAAATGCAAAGCCTGAAGTGAAACACCAATGTCCTACTCTGCTTATGATGTGTGACAGGCAGGAGGACCTTTATTAAAAGACCTCAGCAAAAAAAACAAACAAAAAAAACCAAACTTTATACTTTACACAAATAGTTATTCACTAAATAGTTTATCTTCTTTTTCAAATCAGATAAGGCATTTATGAGCAATGACAGATGATACTGTTACATCATGAGGTCCCCATGGAAAAATAAAGTGAAAAGATATAATGGTAGAAGCCTATTATTTATAGTTATGAACGTAACCAAAAGAACTGAAAACAAAAGTTATTAAAATTATTTTTGTCATCAAGTTCTTAGTTTCAAGAGCTCTTTTACATCATCTGTTCTTTTTAATTTTAGCATCCTATTTTTGTTTCGAAGATGCAATATCCTTTCTTACTTCTAAGGATTCTGATGATAGCTTTTTTGTTTTTTAGTTTCTTCCAAGCTGACTTTCTCCCTTTGCTTCTTTCATGAGAGATTTTTCTCAGAAATCTAACGATCCTCACTCACAAATGCAAGTGGGACCTGATAAAGAGCTGAGCACCGATTCTGAGTGCATGACTGGGGATTACACACAAGGGGCTTCACAGTGGATCATCTGCAGGGACTTTTAGGGGCGAACCTTCAACTTAGTCACTTTAGGTCTTTCTTCTTGCACTGGCCAGAGTGCCCAAAGAAAAGTCTCCTAGTATCTTGACAGGACCTGGCCCCAGTGTTCCGAAGCCAACTGGGGAACAGGGCTTTTGAACTAACTCATCCCTCTCCTTTAGTACAGCACCCACAACTCTCCCAGTCTGGGTGTTCTGCTGTCTGTTAAAGGATAAATAAACCTCAGACTACAGTGGAGTAGGAGCAATTACCCCACAGCATAGGGTCTGGGGATCTAACTAATTTTCAAGCAGCTCTCACCCAATCTCTTTATTTTGGGTACCTGTCCCTTCATCCTTGGTTCTAGAGTTACTTGGTGCTTCTCCCACCATCAATTTGAAATCTGCCTCTGGAATCTGCTAAGTTAGCTGTCTCAACCATCTGCTTTCCAGCTTTGAAAGTTTTGTTGCTATTATGTCCTCTCCTGTTTATGGATTTATATATGTATAAAATACCTCTTCTACAGTTTAGTAGTTTTGGAGAAGAAATAAAATTTGATGCATGTCTTCAGTCTGCCACGATAACTTCAGTGTTATTTTTCACTTAATTTCACTGAATTTAGTGTTATTTAAGTATTTCACTGAATTTCAACTACCTAAAATAATTTCAAGTATGTCTCAGTCTTGGGAAACACTTTTAAAAGTGATAGTTGAAAAAAATATATGATTGAACTCAAAGTTATTGTGGCAGATTGAACAAAAGCATCAAATCTTGTTCCACGATAATGGAAAATTGGATTCTTTTCAATTTTCTTGCAAATGTCCTGATTAACCCTCAGTATTATCAGGAAAAATAATCATCCTCATTATTGCCTATGAATACTTTATATTTTTGTAGTCTGAAATCATTTTACAAACAATTTACAGATGACAAGGTAATGCCAAATAACTTTATATAACTTTAGCATAGGCAAGGACTTCATGACTAAAACACCAAAAGCACTGGCAACAAAAGCCAAAATAGACAAATGGGACCTAATTAAACTCCAGAGCTTCTGCACAGCAAAAGAAACAGTCATTGAAGTGACTCAGCAACCAACAGAATGGGAAAAAATTTTTTTGCAATCTACCCATCTGACAAAGGGCTAATACCCAGAATCTACAAAGAACTAAAACAGATTTACAAGAAAAAAACAAACCCATTCAAAAGTGGGCCAAGGATATAAACAGACACTTTACAAAAGAAGACATATATGAGGCCAACAAACATATGAAAAAATGCTCATCGTCACTGGTCATTAGAGAAATGCAAATCAAAACTACATTGAGATACCATCTCACGCCAGTTAGAATGGTGATCATTAAAAAATCTGGAGACAACAGATGCTGGAGAGGATGTGGAGAAATAGGAACACTTTTACACTGTTGGTAGGAGTGTAAATTAGTTCAACCATTGTGGAAGACAGTGTGGCGATTCCTCAAGGACCTAGAAATACAAATTCCATTTGACCCAGCAATCCCATTACTGGGTACATATCCAAAGGATTATAAATCATTCTATTATAAGGACACATGCACACGAATGTTCATTGCAATACTGTTTACAATAGCAAAGACTTGGAACCAACCCAAATGCCCATCGATGACAGACTGGACAGGGAAAATGTGGCATACATACACCATGGAATACTATGAAGCCATAAAAAACGATGAGCTCATGTCCCTTGTAGGGATATGGATGAACCTGGAAACCAGCAGTCTCAGCAAAATGACACAAGAACAGAAAATCAAACACCGCATGTTGTGACTCATAGGCAGGTGTTGAACAATGAGAACACATGGACACAGGGAGAGGAGCATCACACACTGGGGTCTGTGGGGGGGAACAGGGGAGGGACAGCAGGGGGTGGGGAGTTGGCGAGGGATAACATGGGGAGAAACGTCAGATATAGGTGATGGGCAGGAAGGCAGCAAACCACACTGCCATGTGTGTACCTACGCAACCATCTTACATGTTCTTCACATGTACCCCAAAACCTAAAACACAATTATAAAAACTTTACATAAGAATTTAAAAAAAATACAAAACTTTAAATAAGAAGACCAGTCACAATGGCTCATGCCTGTAATCCCAGCACTTTGGGAGGCTGGGACGGGAGGATTGCTTGAAGCCAGGAGTTCTAGACTAGCTTGAGCAACACAGAAAGACTCTGTCACTACAAAAAATTTAAAAATTGGCCGGGCGTGGTGACTCACACCTGTAATCCAAGCACTTTGGAGGCCAAGGCAGGTGGATCACCTGAGGTCAGGAGTTCAAGACCAGCCTGGCCAACATGGTGAAACCCCGTCTATAAAAAAAAAAAAAAAATTAATTAATTAATTAAAAAAAATTTTTTTTATTAGCTGGATGTGGTGCAACACCTGCAGTCCCAACTACTCGGGAGACTGACATGAGTGGGAGGATCATTTGATCCCCAAAATTTAAGGTTACAGTGAACCATGATCATGCAACTGTACTCCAGCCCGGGAAACAGAGCAACACCTTGTCCCCAAAATATATTAAATTAAATGAAAATGAAAATAAGAACACAAACACGGCAAATCCAAATTTTTATTCC